TACAAATAATTCTATAATATTCAAATAGTCCCATTTGTACAATTTTAACAATTAATTAATGGTTTATATTAGTCAACATGATGTACCAGTATTCATCTCAAGTGTTAACATATGTCCTGTTCTTTATAAAACAACAGTCTATGATTTGTTTTTGTAGTGTATATGTGGAGAAATTTCCCAAGGAGTAAATGAGTCTCCTTTTATTTCTGTTCTCAAACCAGATTTCCTGTCTGACTGCTGATGTGCCCCTCTGCCTACGCTTTGCCATGCTTCCTAGTTACTGGACGGAAACAACGAGAGAAGACGTAGGAAGGTCATACAGCAGGGCTGGGGTGTGAAAGGGAGCATATAGTCATCAATCAATGTGATAGGTTTGGGAAATGCGCATGAACTTGAGGTAATCCTTCCCAGGGATGGTTAGGAAGGCCAATGGCTTTAATGTTATAAAGTTAGTGGACTCTTCCTTATGTGGTCTATGGATAGAATCTAGACATATCCCCATATCTCAGGAAAATCTAGCTTACACCTGTTGTTATACTCTCAAAAATATCCCAGATGAAAAGATAAGTTCTGTGATCTGCCTGCTGGGAGAGGGCTTTACAGTCCTTTAAATTATGTTCCCAGGCAGCCACTACAAATTGGTCTAAATGGCTTTAGAGTTAAATCATCTTTGCTGTCCCTGTACTTACCAATAAGATGCATTTTCAAAGAAATTTTGGCCTATATTACTTTCACATTCTTCCTACATTAAGAAATTTCTTGATTTCCCTATATAAATTTCATTCCTTCACATATTAAACTGTTTAATAGCACCAAACACAGGAAGATCTCAGTAAATAAACATGAAAGATGATGACTTCCAATCAAGCAAAGAAATTAACATGCGTAAGCATGCTATTTTTTTCTCAGTTTCATAAAAACAAAAGGAAGCAAAAGCACCAAACAAACTTTTATTTTAAGTTTAATAGTTTTTTTAAAGTTTACTCATGTAAGGTCAGGTATTCATACATCTGTCTATAGTGTTACTTGTCTGATCAAACTCCAGAAAGTAAAGTAGTGTCAAAATAAAATTTCCAGTACCAGAGTGCAGTCAGTATAGTATATTAGTGAAGTCTTGTCAGTTCCCATGTTAAAAAATAAATTTAACATTAATATAACTATACCAATTAAAAGTTTTATGAAAAACAATCTTTTGTTCTGTTTTCACTTTGATATTAAAGGAAAAAAACTTTGAAGCAAATTATTCAAATTATGGCTTACTATACAACCCACTTGCTAACATCTTATATTGGTAATATGAAAACATTGTTGTAGTCTAAAGTAGATTTTAACATGTATGAAATAAGTATAATATTTTTCCAACTTTTATATAACAAGCTTTCCATTATTTCTGCCTTAATAAATTTATTTACACAAATACATATATATCTCAGGAGAATGTCTAATAGATTTGAAAGATTCTAGTAAAATTTTGATGTACCCAAGAATACTTACTACCTTTTGAGAAATAATACACTGAAGCCAAAATGAACATGATTCAGCTACAATCTTGATTTCTAGCATGCTGCTAAGTGATTAAACTCATATAACACACGCACACAGACATTTGAAGGATAAATATTCTGGCTTGTTTAAATAATGTATATCCAGAAATAAATTTAATTTCTAAATTAAAATAATTTGTCATCTCTGCTAGAAAACACATGTTCATTAAAGCTGAAGAGATGTATAATATATTGAATTAAAATCATTAATTCAAATCAGTGCTTTTTGCAAAAGTTACTCAAAATCTATCAAACGCCCCCTTTAAATTACTGTAATTGTGTATTTTAAACTTCCAGCAAAACCAGAGGGGCGAATTTTGTAGACTAACAAAAGCAACACTGCAGTTCAGTTCAAAATGGTTTTCTGATTTGTCAGTTTGAAACTAACCTTCTCCCCTGTTTTTTAATTATTTTATTGCTGTGATTTCTACACAGAGGTCTTTAGCTTAAGAAACTAAATACATGCTGAAGAGATAAGGGGATTCCATCCTCCTTTTCAGTCTAAAACATAACCTCTAAATTATGTTTTACAGTAAGCCAAAGCCAGGATCACATACCTTTCGGGAATGAATTTCTTTCACATACAATGGAAGTAGAAACTCAGATATACCTTCAAGTCGGATTCCCTTCTTGGTGACTCTCAGATTTCCCATACCATCCTACAAGCAACGAAATATAGTTCACTTTTAGGTTAATTAGAGAATGAATATCTGGCCATAATTTTCTTAGGCCTAAATTGAGAAAACGAGCTCAAATCAGTGATGATGTAAGGAAAATGAGAGATTGAATCTACTTAATGAATGGTTGTAGCACTTTGCATGCATATAGAGGGCTCTATTTAAAATGAAAAGAGGATTATAAAAGACTGGTATCTTCTCCTAGCTCTATAAGAGACTAGGATTTATCCATGAATGAATCCTTTACTTTCTGCATGCATCAGTCAGTTCAACTATTTATTAGGTATAATGATATTTACTACTTGACTATTGGAACAATTTTGTTTGCCAAGAGATCTAGTAATATTTTACATTACAATTATACAAATAATTCTATAATATTCAAATAGTCCCATTTGTACAATTTTAACAATTAATTAATGGTTTATATTAGTCAACATGATGTACCAGTATTCAAGCCATGAGTTAACATATGTCCTGTTCTTTATAAAACAACAGTCTATGAGGAGGATAAAACAAGCGCCTGAATAATGTTTATGAGACAGAATAAAACAAGTAACAACAGAGTGTTGTTGGGAGTTTAAAAGAGGAGATTTTACATCTGGTAAGAGAATAAATCATTTCTCATGAAAGGCTACGACAAAGGCCTTGACAATGTGGCATTTCAACAGGAGAGGTCCTTGGAGAGTGGAACGAATGAACATGCTGGTAACATTTAGGAAATAGCATGTCATATGATCTGGCCAATTTATGGGGTTTCTACTTTGAAATATTGGGAGAGAAAACAACTGAGAATATGTTTAGGGGCCAGAGAAAGGAAAGTCATGAATGCAAAGCTAAGGAGTATGTATATACTTCGCTAAAGATAAGGGGATTCTATCCTTCTATCATCCAAAAGAAGAAATCTAAAAAAGTCATTAAATGGCTCAAGGGCTTGCAATGTTGGAGTTAAGCTTCAAAATTAATCTGGCAGAAGGATTGCGTAGGGCTAACTGACAAAAGTATTGGCAATAATGCACAACTTTATAGTAAGCGTGAAGAGTGTGGTGAAAGAACAACCTACAGACTCAGTAATTTATTTGGAGATACTGAAAAGGAGGGCATTTAAGATTAATCTAAGATTTCATAACCATGAATAAATATGGAAATGTAGTGATTTTTAAAAATTGAAATAGTAAAATTTGTAGGCTCAATGCCAAAAGTATATTTAGCTTTTCACTTTCTAACACTGAGGTATCATTGCAAAATGCAGATACATATTCTATCAACCAGCACATCTGTAGAAAGGGGTAGTGGAGCAAGAATTGATCAAGGAATACTTGAATCGATCATTGTGGGTAATCAAGCCCAGTGTGGGAAGATGTATATAAAACAAAGGAGAATTATTGAATGATGACTAGGTCTGTGGGTGGAAAAGGTATTTTATATAGTCAGGGAAGTTGTGATCAGTATATGAGGAAAACAAAGACACGATGATGGTCTCCCCCTCTACCCTGCACTATCTCCCACAAAAGAAAGCCAATGAAGTAGTATAACATGAAGGTATTAGTAATAGGTGATAATTAAGGTAGAAAAGTTTTGGAGAAAGAAAGAATGAATAGGACTTTAATTAAGAATTGAAGGACTTTTAAAATATTTTTAAGCTAGACTAAAGGAAACTACTAAGAAAGACATTTTTAGGTCTCGATTGTTCCACAGAAAAAGTAATGGATCTTAACTGAATTAAACTTGGGATAAGAGTAAGGAAATTAGTTCTGGAGGCAAGTGAAGAAGCTCAAAGCTGACACTGGAAATGCCTTATAGGAAACCAACCAAAAATGAATGAATGAATTAATTTCAAGCAGAGTTGAAGACTTATTCTAATGATAAAACACATACTTTTGGTGGGGTGAAGACACACTCTGGATTCTCTGAGACAGGGCTGGTTTATACTGTTTTTTTTAGTATCCTCTTTCATTTTCAAAAATAAACAATGTCTCTGACTTAGACTTTAAATTACATGGTCTTCAATTTACTGGCTCTAATCAGTGTGGTTTGGCAACATTATACCTATCTGAGAACAGAAACAGACAGAATTAACAGAGATATTCCAAACTGAGGATTTGCTAGAAAGGAATGGTGGAAAATCATAGGAATGTAGCATTCTAAGCTATCAAAATATAATGTCCTAAAATAGTTGACCATTATTTTTCTTATTGAGTAGTAACCAGTTAAGCCAGAAGCAGTGTTGGGCTACCAAACTAGAACAAGGTTAAAGAATGGCAAATGGTGAGAAATTAATGATCAAGTTCAGTAGAATTTAAGAAATATGACAAATGTTAGGACAGTTCTATCATCAGAAAATGAAATTGTGGATTTTGAGATCTTGAAGGTGAGAGAATTTTCAGAGATTTAAAGAATACCCCAAGCAGTGGTAGCAGAGGTGGAGACAAAATTCTTGGAATTCAGGAAGCTGAGAATATTAATTAGAACATATAATGTAACATGGCGCTTTCAAAAATTATTTTGTTTCAGGAGGATTTTGTTGACTAAATCTCACACAGTGACTGGCCACTCCAATGCCTCCCAGAAGGAAGTGTTCTGAAATATTCCCCATGGAGTAGCTATTGAAATACCTAATGTCACTGTTAGACTATCTAAGGGCAATGGAAATAAGTTCTATCACAATGTAATCTCCAATTCAATATTAATTTTAAAAATGTTTTGACAGGTTGATTAGAAATAAGAGTACTGGCCATCCAAAATTAAGTGTGTTATTGCTTATGCTATACGCATATTTAGTTTTTGAAAGTTTTCAATCTTAAACTCAATGTTTATCTTCTTATATAATCTACATAATGTATGATTTCAGATATATAAATAATTACATCTCATTTAATTATATAAAGTAGAATTCCCCTGTATAAATGTAGGACTGGCTGTTTATTCTTTAATGTATGCTAAATAAATAAAAAAAATCTATTTAATTTTCAACTCCTAATTAAAGAGGAAGTTCTCTTTAAAATACCTAAACATTTTCTTTTTCTCACTTGTTTTATGCCGATTATATCTATACTTTTTAATGAGCTGTTTTTCTCCAACCATAAGAGAAAAAACAAGCAAAACATAAGCTGACAACCTACTTTATATGTGTGTTTTTACTATGTTGTTTGCCGTAAACCCATATTTTATTTTCAGTTTAACTGGCCTTTTTATTCCTGGATATTATTAGGAAATAAACTCTACAGTGGTAACAAATTGATAGACCTAGGAATTTGACCTCTAATTCAACTTGTATGGAAACGTTTTTAGAGATCGTAGTTAATAATATAACTATAATCTGAAACATGATTTATTATTTTCTCTTTGCCAATAGTTGTTCAAATTTCACAATTCACATATCTTAAATTGTCAGAGTTATAAGAGAAAATCTTAAATATATTTGTCTATTAAACGTGACAACAAATATTATACTTTGTTCCTCTTACTTGTACTGGTGTTCTTTTAGCTACATGTATGATTTTCCAAAAGTATAATAAAATAAAATTCAATGTGTTTTCCAAAACTTCCTCTACTGATAAAACAATTCCCTTATGTATTTTCTATATATATTTCCTTCTTATTCTAACTATCCACATATCACTAACCTCACAGACCATCTATAATTGCTTAATAAAAAATCATGCAGGATAAAATTTGATCAATAAAAATAAAATAAAAAATAAAAATATGTTAATCTGATAAGGCAGATAGGATCACAGTGATTCAGTATATGGAGTAAAAATGGATGCAGTAATAAATCCAACAAGACTACAAGTAAGGAACCAGCCCAAAGTACCCTGTAACTTGACATAAAAATGGTAAAATTATAAAATTTAGTTAACAATAGAGCAAAATATATGTGTGTATATATATATATATAAAATATACATAAATATGTGTGTGTTTATAAAGTTCACATAAGATAAAAATGGAGACCAGATCATAGCTATTTAATACAGTAGGAACATTTGAAATACCCACACATTTTATATTTAATATTCTTGAGAAAAATATATTTTCCCAGAGGACATTGGGATCACTATCAGGAAAATAATCCTGGTGTTGCTCAGTCTCATATTAACTGGATAATGCAACCTTAAATGTGCATGGAAGAAACAGCATCCACCTTAACTTGAAGTTAAGGTTACACCTGGGGATAAAATCAGTGGTTGTGGTTTGCTATAGAAAAACCGAGGATGCTCTTATAAACGAATCATATTTCTTGGTGGTAAATGGAGACTAACGCAAAAAGCCTCAGGCATTCGACTTAAGGAAAATAATAAGTAATGGATTAATAATAATGTTCTGTACCCTAAAGATTGCCATCTGTAAGTGGGTGGCTGAGGAACTTCCATATGTTAATCTTTTTAACAAGGTTATAAAGCCTGAAGCTTCACTATGAGCATGCTTGTCTTTCCTAACTGTGCTTAACAGAACACCAGAATTATAATAGATCCAATGAAAAAAGAGTTACTTTTTAAAATAAATTTAAGAAAACATTGTATGATATATTCCCACTCAGAGATTCATAATACACATTAACATACTAAACATTCTGAGAAGGCTGAAGTAAAGAAACACACTTCTTTATTTAATATAGATGTCTCCAAACATTTTATCTAATGGGCCTTCACTCACTCACCCATCATTTGGAGTAGGTGGAATAACATCCCTTTAAATACACTGTGGAAATTCTGGGCTAATCACTTATATTTTATAAACTCTGAAGAAAGACTTATTAAAAAGGAGGTTCATTTTTTATTATGGAGGCTCAAAAAGAAGTGATTAAAGAGTTATAAGCTCCCATGTCCCCACAAATGTTTATTGAGAGCCTATATATATATGGTAGCACAGAATTCTGTTATAATTTGGCTTTCCGGCTATCTTTAAATACCGGGAATCATATGCTGAACACTGCTAGAAATTTGATCTGTTTCATGAATCTTATTTCTTATTGTTAG